CATAATTATAAGTTGTTTTGCAGGAGGCTCCTTTGGGGCAGGAGCCACAGGGAGTGTCTGAAGAATGCAGCAAGGGGCAAGCAACGGGAGAAGCAAGCGGAGAAGCAAGACAGGGCAGAGGAAAGGTGGGAGTTTTATGGGTAAAGAAAGAACATTGGTGGGGTAAGACATGTCGGTAGGGTTTGCTAGAGGGGGATCGTGGCTCCAGTCCAGACAATCGAGACAGAAGAGAGGCAGGTCGGCAAAAGGCGAAGCAGTCAGCTTGCTATGGGGGCACACGGGCAAGTACATTACACTTATTCAGTGCTGCCTCGCTCTCATTGGTCGGACACACTCCATTCAAAGGAATGACTGACATTGAGTTGTAACGTGTGTGGGGCCTTACAATGGATGGAAGGAATCGTAATTGGAAGCTTCAATGGGTCTCGACATACGAGAGTGCATGGGTTGAAGTGAGAGCGAGAAAGGAGGCAGCCATGCTCACTCACCCCACTGGCAGAAAAGCTCGCTGCTCTGATCCACCTGACAGGTGCCACCAGGGTCACACCCCAATGCCGCACACGCAGGATCTGCAGCACACAGGCAAGACAAGGGGACATGAGAAAAGGGACATGAGAAAAGGGACATGAGAAAAGGGACATGAGAAAAGGGACATGAGAAAAGGGACATGACAAAGTGACAACATCAGGGCATAGCACCCTTGAGAAGGTAGTTGCGGCAATGCAAAGCACCCTCTAAGGGGATCCACAATGGAAGCATCACAGGAGTTGAGTTGCGGATGGGCAAAGCACGTACCGCTGGAGCTGACATTCAGATCGCAGAGAACCGACGCCACTGAAGCCAACTTGGGGATGTCCTTCTGCGTGCTGGGGAGCCTGAAGGGCGTGGCAAGTGGAAGCACACACACGCTATTTTCAGACGTTTTGAAACAGACGCCTGAAACCGACGCCAATAAAGCCCACTTGAGGGTGCTTTTCTTTGTGCTTGGGAAAGTGAAAGGCGTTGGTAACACAGGATGTCACAATGAGCTAAAACGAAACTTTTTCTTTTGTCTCCTTTCCTCCACTATCCTCCCTCGCAAAGTAACATGGTGACACGACCCCAACTCACATATATCCCCAACTCACATAAATCCCAACTCACATTAACCCGAATTCCCATTAACGCGAACTCCCATTAACGCCGACTCACATAAACCCCGACTCACATGCACCCCGACTCACATGCACCCCGACTCACATGCACCCCGACTCACATGCACCCCGACTCACATGCACCCCGACTCACATGCACCCCGACTCACATGCACCCCGACTCACATGCACCCCGACTCACATGCACCCCGACTCACATGCACCCCGACTCACATGCACCCCGACTCACATGCACCCCGACTCACATGCACCCCGACTCACATGCACCCCGACTCACATGCACCCCGACTCACGTGGACCCAGGCGTGCGCGGGTTGACAATGCTGTCCAGCGGCGGGCCCTGGCAGCCGTCTTTACCAAAGAACTTGACCCGCGCGCACTGCCCGCCCGCTGACGCGCTGCCCGAAGCCCCAGTGCCCTTCCACCACACCGCCGCGCTCTTCTTCTTGGCGCTCTTCAGCGCCTTCTGCGCCTTCTTATCCACGCTCACGCACAGCTGCTGCGTCGTGAATTTCAGCTGACTCATCGGCGCGGCAGGCGTCCCCAGCGCCACCGCCGTGGCAACCTTCACGCTCGCGCTGCTGTCGCCGCTGGTGGTGGCTCCCTCGCGCACCACGAGTGCCCTCCTCGCGGCGTTGAAATTCTTGCTCGCCGCCGGTTTCAGCACCGCTGGCGTTTCGTCTCCGTAGTATGCTGCGGCGTTCAGCGTGTCATGTGGCAGTGTGATCGTTTTAACTGCGGTGACGTCGACGCCATACGCTGCAGCCTTCATCGCTGTGGAGACGAGAGCAGCGATGAGAGAAGAGAGGATTCAGGTGAAAGAAATGCGGGGGTTGACAACAGAAGGGAGCAGGAAGGAGCACTGAGAGAAAGGCACGGATATCACTGCAATACTATAGAAGTGAAAGGAAAGACTGACCGCAAATGAGGGCAATCACGAGGAGCAGGAGTCCGGCACGAAAGGCGATCGCAGGAGTCATCCCCATGGTCACGTTGAAGAAAGATGAGATCGACCCGCAGCCAAGCCTTCAACCAATAGTATCGCGGAAGCGAAGGCCAATGAAGTGGCGCGACGGAGCTGTGACGTACGAGTCACGGTGTTTGATTCACGTGCGGAGAGTGTTCAAGTGCGGATTGTAGGAAACGAGTCTTAAGCAAGGGGAAACTGAGCAGCGCGGTCCTCCTTTGGAAGGACACTGCAGTGCAAGGCGAGTCGAGTGCAAGGGGGGTCCAGTGCAAGCAGTAATAGGAGAATGGTAGAATGGCAGGCGCGATGGAAGAATAGCGAGCTTGCTTTGGGTCTTGAATGTGGTGGGCTGGTGGTTTATAGTGCGAGCAGCGTGACAGCCGCCGCGCCATGGCAGAGTGGGCTCGCGAAATGTGTTTGGCTTGCATGAGCCGCAGGTAGTTTGAATTCTAGGAACGCGATGCGTGCGACGGATAGTTTCGGGGAGTCTCCCGCGCGTGACGGTGCTTGACTCGAGCGAGTCGCGGGGAAGAAAGAATACGAGGGTACACGAAGGACTGTCCCTCGCAAACCAATGGCGCAATGCGCTGGCTTCTGGCGGGACCATTCCGTCTCGTCACTTCCAATCAGGTTGCGGCAATCTCGTTGACCTAGGACTGTAGTTGCATCATATGGGCGATAATACCTAAATTCGTTATAGCATATCCGTTTGACGACTGGTTTATTGAGAGACGCGTTCCTAGTGAATTTGACCAACCAGGTCAGAGAAGCTGCTAGTCCGAAGTCCGCTCCGACACCCTGCCGAAAGCTGAAGGTGTGGGCGGGCGGGAGGAAATTTGAGGTGGCGGGAGTCTACGGAGGGGATTCAAGTACACACAGATCCAACGGCCACCTGCGATGCAGAACGCGTACCGAACTCTCCCACATGTGAATCTGTTTCCAGCGTCATCCACGGCCATCGATGTTGAGTCCAATAATTCATGGGAGAAACAACTGAAGCGGACTGCTTTGATTACCTGTATGTTGATGTGGTAACGCAGATTGTTTAAAGCGAATATATGGTGCTGCGAATTCGTGTCTCACGACATGGAGAAAACCCACGAGAAGGGTAACCAATATCAGTATCTCGCGATATAGTTTACCCTGCCTTCCATCGTCGACGATACTTCACTGTGTCGTCCACTCAGTCCTGCTCAACGAGGGGTTTAATTGTGTGCAGCCATAATCGTCAGCGAGATGTGTCAGACTGAGGGGAAAACGTTCCGCGGGCGGGTCCAGCACGTTTGTCCTTCGTTCGTTCTGTGCGGTTTCTCTTGTTGCGTCAAGGTGCAAAACGGTGAGGCCTGATTCTGCACCGTCTCGAATCGTCTTGCGCCACCAAAAACGAACACGCTGGACCCACCAGAAGATTTCCAAGCGAGCCATCTGCGAAACTATCGTATCTACCTCGTCAAATTCGTTGGTGAACCTTCGCGCCGACTTTCGATTTCAGTCCCCACCCACCCCACCCCCACAACAGCAAGCCCTTGCACTTGCATTGCACGCCACTTCTCTCGTGTTTGCAAGCTATCCTTCCAATAATTCCCGAGGAAATCCGCAACACACACCCATCTTTCTACGCTTACATTGTAATCCATGATAGTAACCGTTATACATTGAACCTCGCTACATCGATGCCTTCAATTTGAGCTCACTCGTAGTCGTACTAGCCCGCGCGACCATTTCCCTATTCCGCGTCACGACGGTACGAGAATTTCGCGGCGCGACCCAGCGAGCGAGCAGAAGCCAATCTAGTCCCACTTCAGCAACAACGTCCCTTCCAAATCGGGAATCATTCGAGTAGTCTTTCCTAGTAGCCTCTCGTCAGCGTTGCTTCGATAACCGAGCCATACGACGCGCGGCTCGGCGCGCTGCTCTCAAACGGAAGCAGCTACACCGGTAGACGCGCGATGCGCTGCTTTCAAGCGATGTTTTTTCTGGTTTTCGCGACGATCCTCTCATCGAGCCTCCCGGTGCACACTGCACAACCCGTTGCACGGATAGACGCGGTACAAGGTGACTCGATAGCAGGAGGGGTAGGAAGACGGTGAGATGAAAAAGAAGCGAGACTGGAAGTGGAGGTGCAAGGGGGTGTCGTGGCGTTGCGGTTTGCTTGAAAACTATGCACGAGACGGAGGGTCACGTGAAAAGGATGGCATGGGAGGAATTGGATGCAAGGATGGGATGGAACGGATGATGGGGACGGAAATGATAGGATAGGATGGAAAGGTGGAGTGGAGCGGAACTGATGGAGGGAATGGGATGGGATGCCATGTGATGCGCTGTGCTGACGGTCATGGGATGCGTGATGGCATGATGAGATGTGTGAGCACGGAGCAGTGCTGCGCACCTTTCTAACTCACAGTGGTATCTCCATGCATCCATCCATGCGCATCCCATGCATCCATCCATGCGCATCCCATGCATCCATCCATGCGCATCCCATGCATCCATCCATGCGCATCCCATGCATCCATCCATGCGCATCCCATGCATCCATCCATGCGCATCCCATGCATCCATCCATGCGCATCCCATGCATCCATGCGCATCCCATGCATCCATCCATGCGCATCCCATGCATCCATCCATGCGCATCCCATGCATCCATCCATGCGCATCCCATGCATCCATCCATGCGCATCCCATGCATCCATCCATGCGCATCCCATGCATCCATGCGCATCCCATGCATCCATGTGCATTCCATGCATCCATGCGCATTCCATGCATCCATGCGCATCCCATGCATCCATGCGCATCCCATGCATCCATGCGCACGCCGCGCATCCCATGGATCGGTCCGTACGTCACACATGCCATGCATCCATGATCGCATCATGAACCCTCTGGTTCTTCCTCCCATGCTAAGCATCTGCTCTCTTCCCAAGTCTCCTCCTGCCTTGAAAATCAGCCGGTCTCCCACTAGCAACTGCTCTCATTCTAAGTCTCATGTTCTGCTATTCCTGATTCCCAGCTTCTTCAAGGGATCCATATTGCGGCCTGATGTGCTGCGTTTCTCCACCCCACCTCCCCTCCTGGTCCACTACCCACTCGTGTCTCCGTGTGTGCTGTGCTCCTCCCCTCCTCCCTTCTTCCCCTCCTCCCTTCTTCCCCTCCTCCCTTCTTCCCCTCCTCCCTTCTTCCCCTCCTCCCTTCGTCCCGTCGTCCCTCTCTTCCAACAGCACAAGCTCTGGCGGCGAGCGCGGGGGCATGGGGAGTGGCGCCCGCGGGTTGGAGTGGAGGGGGGGACTGCAGCCAAGTGCAAGGAGTGACTTGTGACAGCAATGGCACGGTGGTGGCAATGTGAGGCACGGCGGTGGCAATGTGAGGCACGGCGGTGGCAATTACGGTAGTAGTGACATGGTGACTTGCCGTGGTCTGCTGCGGGGTTCCATCTGCGGCTTTCCGGACCCCATCGCCATGCGCAAGGAACGGAGGACATGCGTGGTCATGTTTTCCTGTTAGCGTTTTGTCATGTTGTGTTCACCATGCTTCACTAAAGGACGCCTTCTTGTTTGTTCATTGACACACAACACATGTGATGTTTGATGTTATGTCGTATGGGCATGGCACGTGTGGCATGTCTTGTCATGCCATGCCTTACCATGGTATGCCATGTCTTGGGCATGTATCTCTGAGCAGTGACCTGAGCAACACACCGTTGAATGGCAGCATTCCCAGGGAGATTGGCAACCTCACCTCCCTCACTCTCCTGTAAGCCTCACCTCCCTCACTCTCCTGTAAGCCTCACCACCCTCACTCTCCTGTAAGCCTCACCACCAGCACTCTCTGCACTCTTGTGTGGACCTATCGCCCCTCCCTTATAATGACCGCTCATTTGCTGTCTAAAGTTTCAAAGCTGTTGCGGCCTGCCCCCCTTCCACTCTCGTTTTATCCTCCCTTGGTCCCCTTCCCCTCTGCTCCATGCCCTGTGTTTCATCCCAAAACAGCAACCTCGCGAACTGCTCTCTAAGTGGCTCCATTCCAATCACATTCAGTGCCCTCACCTCCCTCTCTCTCCTGTAAGACCCCACTCCCTCCCTCCTTCCATCAGCTCCCTACCTCTCTTTCTCCTGCCTTCCTCTCTCCCCTTCCGCCGTCCTCTGATTCATAGCCTCCCTGCTCCCATCTACCCGTCCCCCTCCCTCCCAGCCTTCCCGCTTGCGCTCTCGTCCTGCTCTCCTTACCCCATACACTCCATCTCCATCCATCCGCCTCCCACACCGCCCCCCTCTCTGTCTCCGCCCTTCTTCTCTCACTGTCTCCCCCTTTCCTCCCCGCGCTCCTCTCCCCTCCTCTCTCCAGCGATCTGAGTCACAACAGCCTATGGGGCACCACGCCGTCGTTTCTCAGCCTGCTGACGCAGCTCAGGCGCCTGTGAGTCGGCGGCTTGGGAGGCTTGAGAGTTGGAAGCGTGAGAGACGTGAGAGGCTTGAGAGGCTCGGGAGTTGGAAGCATGATAAGTCTGTAAAGCACCCTCCCTTCAGGCACTGCCAGGGACCTGAGGGACAGCTCTCTCTCATGAATCCCTTCCAAAACGACCTTCAAGTCAACTCAAAGCCCATCTCACTCTCCCCTCTCCATGCCGCCCTGCCTTGGTGCCTTGCCCTTCCTTGCGCCCTGCCCATCCGTGCCGTGCCTGCCAGGGACCTGAGCGACAGCACCTTGCACGGATCCATCCCGGGCGGCCTTTGGGTGCTCCCCGAGCTGCGGCACCTGTGAGACTCAAAATGCCCATCCTCTTGAGGCAGGGTCCCTGTTCTGAGACGCCTAAACTATCTGAGGCGGATCAAATCCCAGGCGGCCTTTGGGTGATTCGAACCGAGTCACCTTTGAGACACAAAATGCCCATGCTCGTGACACAGAACCCTGGCTGATTCTTGAGGCACTTACAAGAGTTAGCCTTGGCTTCAAAGAGTCCTTTTTTCTCACCTGCATCCCTAGTGACAAGGGATGGAGGGGTTTGTTTATAGCCTAGCCTCCCTCTTCAGTTTTCCTCTCCCTTGCCTTTTTTACTCTTCCTCTGCTTTCTTTTCTGATAGAGACCTCTCGTCCAACCACATCAACTCGACCGTCCCAGCCTCTTTGGGCGGACTCAAGTCGCTCACCGCCCTGTAAGCCGCCACTCTCACTCCCTTTTCCCTCTGAAGGCCATTACACTCTCACACACTCCCAAAATGAGCCGCTATGCCCACACGACTGGGAGGGTTGATCGGATGGCCGTTGAAGGTTCTTATTGTCAAGGCACGACGAGAGTTGGAGCAGTAAAGTGCCTTGATGAGTGTTCACGAAGAGGATGCTCGTGGCAGCAGTGAAGGCGACTTAGCTTCAAACTGCCAACGCCTTTTCAGCTCAGCTGCTACTGCTCCACTGAGATTGAGAACCGAATCAGACGCACACTGTCAGTGCATCAATCTACTGTTCCTTTCCTGACTCATCTCAATAACCACTTTAAGAGGATGCACGTTGCTGTGTGTGTTTGTTTCCCCGCCACCCAGTGATTTGAGCAACAACAGCTTGACTGACAGCGTGCCGTGGAGCCTTGGCTTTCTCACGAAACTCGAGGCGATGTAAGCTAAAAAAAACATGGGAAATTCTTCTCAGAAAGAAAGGACCAGTCAGGGTTCGAAGCTGGTTGTGCAGTGGAATCTCATTTGTGCTCTAAGCTGAGTGACCTGATAGACAGCAGCAGCATCCTGTCCTGTCATGTCAGGCATACTTAGTCTCTCACCAGCTCAATGTTTCATTAGACGTATGAGGCTTCACAATTGTGTCTCGAAATTCCTGCTTTCCCTCCCCAATCACTTTCTCCCTCCCCAATCACTTTCTCCCTCCCCAATCACTTTCTCCCTCCCCAATCAATTTCTCCCTCCCCAATCACTTTCTCCCTCCCCAAGCACTTTCTCCCTCCCCAATCACTTTCTCCCTCCCCAATCACTTTCTTCCTTTTCCAAATTGTGCAAACGTGTTTTCTTCATTCCATCCAGTTTCCTCCTCAAACTCACCTCCCCAGCCCCCTCTCCCCTCCTCCCTCCCCATTCCCCCCCCCCCACTTATCCCTCCCGCATCCCCGCTTTCCTCCTTTCCTCTTCCGCCACATTCTCTCCCTGCGCGCACATGCACTGGACTGAAGGAGCTTGTCCAAGAACGCCTTCTCGTCCTCCATCCCCTCGTCTCTCGGCCTCTTGACTCGCCTCGCATCCCTGTAAGCGCATCTGCAGTGTGTTGACTGTTCAGGAGTGAGAGGCATGTGGGAGACACGTGGAAGGAAGGCGCGTGGAATGTGGAAGGAAGGTGGGAGGAAGGTGGAAGGTGGAATGGAAGGAAGGTCTGGGGAGTATCGTAATAGTCACTCACGCAAAAACACATTGTTGGAAATGAGTTATCTGGCGATGACGCAAACGGCAACCATATCGTAGTAATTTGAGATTGTTTTTTTTTTTTTTTTTTTTAATCAACTCATGCACTTGAATGAGGAAAGGTAGCCACTACAGTCATCCAGTTTTCACACAGACGGAAGCGGGAGGCAGAGAGATGAGATCGCCCAACCCTGTTCTTCCAGCCTGTCTTCCTTTCAGATTCCCCCCCTCACCCCCCTCTCTTTCTATTGTTTTTTCCCCACCCTCCTGCGCACAGCAACCTCTCGAGCTGCTCTCTCAACGGCACTGTTCCCAGCATGCTGAGCTATCTCACTCGCCTCCACACCCTGTGAGTCCCACTGGCCGTCACTCCCAGTGAGTAAACTTAGAAAGTCCGTTCACTTAGCCCCATTTCTCCATTTCTTGTGTCTGCGTGCGAGTGAGTGCAGCGACCTGAGCTCCAATGCCCTGGGTGGTTCGCTGCCCCGCCTGCGCCGATACAACCTCCTCACCCACCTGTACGCGAGACATATCGCTGATGCCACCTGCCAGTGCCACACACATGCCATCTGCACGTGATGCACACACATGCCATCTGTATGTGATTCTTACCTTCCATGCCACTGGATAGTGCCACATGCCATGCCATCCTCTAGTGGCACTGCCTGTTAGCACCTCGATTTGGCCGTCTCAGATCCCCAGATCTCGCCCCCTTGACTCACATCCCCAGATCTCGCCCCTTGACTCAGACTATCAGCCCTCTCAACATTATCTCGGTCGCCCTCCATTCCCGTCCCATCCATCCACCCTTGCTCTGGTTCCACACCCCATGGGCCCCCCTCCCCATGGCCCATGGCGGTCATGACCCCCATCCCCCATCCCCCATCCATCCCCCATTCCCGCCAAACAGCGACCTCAGTGCCAACGCCTTCCAGGGCACTCTCTCTCAAGGGCTGGGGAAGCTTCAGCAGCTGCAGCATCTGTGAGCACCTCAAAACTCTCTAATGTTTTCCCTGTATGTTCCAGTGACCCGGTCCCGCTATGCGCAGGTGAGCTGGAATGACTGCAACTAGTTACTGCACAGAAAGAACTAGCGTCCTCGTTATAAGATCCGCCTTTCCCAGTTTTCATTTCTATTTCCTTCACCAGGCACACTTTCACCCCCTTTGTCTCCCAGACCCTCATCATGGGCCTTCAACCTGGCGTTCGTCTCTCCAACCCTCTCCCGCGCAGCTCAAGTCTCCCTGCCCTTCCTTTCCTTCCACCTGCAGTGACCTGAGCAGAAACCAGCTAAACGGCACTCTGCCTGAGGGTCTCGGCAGAAGCTCCCTCCTCTCCCACCTGTCAGTGCTCCCACCAATCCCAGCACACCCAACCCACAACACCACCCCTTCAGCCCTCAACTCCAGGCTTTCTGGCTATGCAATCACCTTGTTCCTCGCTTCCTCGTTACGCAGCTCCAAAATCCCTCTCCCTCTTGCGTGCCATGCAGTGATTTCAGCGCCAACTCTCTCAACGGCACGCTGCCTCAAGGACTGCAACAACTCACTGCTCTCACTTACCTGTAAGCTCTGACAACTCTGCACGCCCGTCTGACCAATGTGTGGTCCACAAGGGCACTGAGCACTGGGCTGCTTGCAACGTCACCGTCCCTCCATACTCCTTGCAGAGCTTACAAGAAGCCTGTATTTGAATAAAAGACTCCTTTCCTCCTTTACCTTTCTCTCTTTTGCTTGTTGCGAATGATTCCCTTTCTCATCACCTACACACCCATCCCTTCTCATCACCCGCACACCCATCCCTTCTTATTCGTCAACTGTATACTCCCTGCCCCCTCCCTCCCAGGCTCACGTCAAATCCTTCACTCCCTCCTACCATGCCCATCAATTCCTCTCATTATGCTATGCCACCACTCATCACTCCCTCCCACCGCACCCATGACTCCCTCCCATCCCACCACGCCTCCCCACCAGCAATCTGGGCAGCAACGCCATCAATGGCTCCATCCCCGAATCTTTCGGAAACCTCACCAACCTCATCTCTCTGTACGCACCCCCACGCCAACCTGTCACTAAGCAAATGCCTCGACCAACCACATTTCTGCCCTGACAAAGGTGCTTCTCCTCGTTGCATGGATGCGCACACTCTGCAAACGAGCCCCCATTTACCCTGCAGGCGGTTTCCAGTCCTCTAGGCAAGTGGGCTCCCACCCAATGCTCGCCCAGATTTGTGTGCTGCTCGTTCATTTAACATGCCTCCTTTTCATTCTATCCACATGAATTTCTCCAATCCCATCCTTCGCCATGCAGGAACTTCACAGCGAATTTGCTCAACGGATCCATTCCATCGTCCTTCGGAGATTTCAGCAACCTGCTCTACTTGTAAGCCGTTCACAGCTCCTCCGCTGGTGAGGAATCCATTCGCCTTACATCACCCTGTCATCTCCTCCGCTCGAGAAGCTTCCCCAACCTGAATGTATCCATGTGTTCCCTGTTTATCAAATTCCTAACACATTTCCGAGCCTTTAAGAACCATCGTTTCAGAGCAATCTCTGCTGTCCCTCATCGGTCCGGTCCAGGGTATCTCAGTGTCGTTTTAAGATTCTTCTTCTGTCCGTATTTCGCACTTGCTGCTACCCGTTCCTCCTCACCCACCAGTGACGTCAGCTACAATGGCCTCAATGGGTCGCTCCCAGACTCCTTCAGCCGACTCTCTGCCCTCAAGCACCTGTAGGCACTCAAGCACCTGTAGGCACTCAAGCACCTGTAGGCACTCAAGCACCTGTAGGCACTCAAGCACCTGCGTGAACGACTTTAACCGCATGAGGACTGTTTCAACGTGATTGGTTGATGCCTTTGTGCTGTCGTCATCTCACATTGGGGTTATTATGGCATCGCATCTGCTATTATGGCATCGCATCTGCTATTGTGGCATCGCATCTGCTATTATGGCATCGCATCTGCTATTGTGGCATCGCATCTGCTATTGTGGCTTGCTTGGCTCAATTTAGGCATGAGCAGCAAAGTACCTAAAATTTCAGCTCATGGCTGTTCATTGCTGATAGCTTAAACTTTATCTTGCAAGCAAGTATGGTTGATTGATTTCAATGACCTTGCAAGCCTGTGACTGCCCCCTCTCACAGGGATGTCGCCAAAAACCAGCTGAACCAGACCCTGCCTGCCAGCATCAGCAATCTCATCAGCCTCACCAACCTGTGAGTGGCAGCACGCTGTTGAGGGGGGGGGGGGGATCATGTTCCTGTTAAGCATGTATGAGGTGGAAGCAAGCATGTATGAGGTGGAAGCAAGCATGTATGAGGTGGAAGCAAGCATGTATGAGGTGGAAGCAAGCAAGCATGTTGGGAGGGAAGCATGCTTGAAGAAAGCATGTGTTGGGAGAAGCATGTGTTGGGAGAAGCATGTGTTTGGAGAAGCATGTGTTTGGAGAAGCATGTGTTGGGAGAAGCATGTGTTTGGAGAAGCATGTGTTGGGAGAAGCATGTGTTTGGAGAAGCATGTGTTGGGAGAAGCATGTGTTTGGAGAAGCATGTGTTTGGAGAAGCATGTGTTTGGAGAAGCATGCTGGGGAAAATCATGTTGTAGGAAGGCACTTTGTGGGGTAGCATGTTTGTGGGTAAATTTCAGTCATCAAACATTTCAAAAACGGCTTTTCTTGCTTATCTTCTCTTCTTTCCCACTGTTTGGTATTCTCCTTGTTTTGCTACAATGCTTGCACCGCATCCACTTAGTCAGAAACCTCCAGGCATGCGCGCTCCATTCTCACCAAGATGATGCGTGCTCTCCCCCCTCCTCTGCGCATTATTCCTCTCAAAAAGCATCTCGACCAATATTTTCCCCACGGCTCCCCCAGCAATTATTTTTCCTTAGCTTCTCGTCTGCTATTCATGACCCTCCCTCCCATCTCATCTCATCTCACGGGGCTCTTGGTCATGTCAGTTGAAAATCATTCCTCTACGATGCCTTACTGCTTGCTCTTCCCCACTTCTTTCTCAGCAATTCTTTTGCTTTCACTCCCCCTCTGCATTCCCATGGCCTCCCTGTGGTTCTCACAGCAACATCTCCATCAACTTCATCAACGGGACGCTCCCTGCCGCCATCAGCAGTCTCACCAACCTTGTTGCTCTGTCAGTCACCCGTCCACCTGTCTCGTTTATCCTTCTTCTCAATTGCTTGTGTGACTCATCTTCTGTCTGTTCTCCTTACTCACAATGACTTGGGAATCATGCATGGAGACAAATATTCTCCTCTTGTTTTGAGGCGCCGTAAAATCTGGTCATTCATGGAAGCGCCTGATCTTCCATCTCATTTCGTCCCTCCGTTTGCCTGTATTCTTGTTTCCATACCATCAGCTTTCACCTCTTCTACTATTGACTAGAGTTTTGGATTTGAAGAGTCTGATTTGCTTTGGTTTCTTTTTGTTGTTTTTATCAAGCACAAATAGGTTTGTCAGTGCACGTGCAGTGCAGTTTGGTGACCCTTTGTACAGTGGTGGCTGATAGCTAACACCATACCAATCTTGCAATTGTGATTCGTGCTGGGCTTCCCATGTTCTTGATTGCCTGCAGTGACGTCCACTTCAACAGCATGAACTGCTCCTTCCCATCGTTTATACGCACACTCACTAAACTCACGTGGCTGTAAGTCTGGCATAATCCATACAACTCTGACACGTGCATGTGACAAATGGTGGCGACTACTAGTCAAATACTAGCGCAACGGTGAAGGTGCACTTTTCTTGCATCAAGCTCTAACTGCCGCTACCTTTGTACAAGGTATAGACATTCAGCGTGAGTAGTTTTTTCAGTTAGTGAGACGCTTTTTGGTAGTGGGTGGCCATTCGCAAGGTGCTGAGATGTAACACGCGCCACCTTGTGTGTTTCTTTCCACCATAGCCTTGTGCTGTTCCCACCTCTTCACAAAGCTCACTTCTTTTATGATTCCTTGGCACATCAAAGCCTCATGTTGTTCCCCTGGGGCTGGTTGGTGCGTGCATGTGACAGTGGCATGAGTGACAACAAGTTCTGGGGTCCCATTGGAGAAACCATCGGGGCACTCACTAACCTCGAATACATGTGAGTCAGTCCCTGTCTTGCCATGCCATGCCGTGTCATCCCATACAATGCCATGCCATGCCATGCCATGCCATGCCATGTCATGCCTGCCATGGTATCCCATGCATTTTCCTGTGCTCCCTTTGGGTCACCATATCGCGCCTCCTTTTCATCCACGTTATTGGTCTCTTCTCATGTATCTCCCCCACCCACCATGCATCTCAATGCCGCTGCCAGAGTGTGGGTATAACCTGTATAGTAACATACTTGGATCGGTGCCTGGTGGTGCTTCTCAAATGATCCGTCTATTGATATGATCCTGGTTACACAAGACTCATAAGCCTGGTGGTGTTTCTCTGTCTCTCCCTCTGCCACTCTTCTTGTTGATCCCTCAATCGCGCCCCCACCCTGTGATGCCCCTATCACGCCCCGTCACTGTCATAATGTCATTGCAGGGATGTCGGGTGGAACCCGAGATTTGATGCCGACACGGCTATTAGCGGATCCATCCCCGCCAGCATTGGCAACCTCCTCAACCTCAGATACCTGTGAGATTCCACACAGGACCTCTTTAACCACTACCACATTGATTGTCATCCTATGATTATTGCTATAATTTCGCTTCTATTGAGCCTACACTGACAACCTGTTTTGTTCCTGTTATTTCTAATCAAACAGTCTTCCTATCTAATTTCTTTAAAAGGTCATCGATGTAAAATACCGTCCACACACACCCTCCACAACCTCACGTACCTGTGAGCTTCCACACAAGGCCTCTTTAGCCACTAGCACATGTTACCGTCCCCACACACCGTCCTCAACTACACGTACCTGTGAGTATTCGAACCCACTGCTATGCGTAGATTATGTTCAGTTGAGAACCACAACCCACTGCCATGTGTTGATTGATGTTGCGTTGAGAACCACAAGCACGGTTGGCTGACATTCCGTTAAATCTCACATACCTGGGAGCACTCACTCTTGCACTGCTGGTCTCTGCTCCTCCTGTGCAGGAAACTGGCTGGCAATAAGATCAGTGGAAGCATTCCCAAGACCATTACGAAGCTTAAAAAGCTCGAGTTTCTGTGAGAATTTAAGATGAGCCTTTATCTCCCCCCTGTCACATGCTGAAGGAACACGTGTTGTATGTTTATAAGCCTAGCTCTTACTCTCCCTCCCACGTGCCATTTGCTGTTGGCGTCCATTTGTAGTCTCTGATAATAGCCGCTCTAGATCAAGCAGGATGATTTTTGAGTCACTCAGCGCTGCAGCATGTTATGCACCCTGCTGGCCTGGCCTCCAAACTCACTAACTGTGAGTGCTTTGCTCCAATGCCCAGCACAGCGAGTTTGCTTTTGATTAGAATCACTGAGAATGACATCCCCTTTTGCCCCTTCTGCTCTCTTCCTCTCCTCTTTGACGGTTTCCTGCACCTGTTCCTCCACCCACATCACTATGCATACAGATGACCCGGCATATTTTCCTTCTGCCCTACCACCCTCTCCTCGTGCAGCTCTGTGGCATTCAACAGTATGAACGCAGACTTGCCAGACTTCCTGTCCGAGCTCACAGCGCTCAGGAAGATGTAAGGAGAACACGCAACTAGCTAGCACTTTTGAGCGGCCTCAAAAGACATACAACTAGCTAGCACAGGTTGGCCACTCGCTTGCTTCCACTTCTGAGGAGCCTGAAACACATTCAGCCATCAAAAACATGTACGGACAGGAAGTAACACAACTAGGGAAGGGAACCTTGACACCTCCATAGCAGAGATGTAAGGAAGGGAACCGTTCATTGGAAGTGAAGAATGGGATGTATACCTTAAATGGGATGAACCTTGTGTTTATCCTCCTGTTTCATGGACAACGGGATGTATGGACATGGAAAGGTCACACAGATCATCAGTACCACCTTGCCACACCCTTCCTTGCCACACCCTTCCTTGCGCTATTCCAGCCACCATTCTAAGGCCCCTCTTGCCCTGCCCGTCTTGCCCTGCCTGTACTGTGTTCCCCGCATGACACGCCTCTTTCTGCTACAATGCATGCAGGGGGATGCGCACCAATGGTTTCACAGGGTCCATACCCACCAGCCTCGGCACTCTTTCCCACCTGGAGCGACTGTGAGTCTTGTGTGCAGCCTGCTGGCAGCACGCTGACGTAACAAATGTATCGTTTCGCCGGGTCCATCCCCACCAGCTTACGCACTCTCTCGCACCTGCAGCAAACGTGAGTCGTGTGTGTGGTGTGAAGTGGCCTGCTGACAGCACGCTGACATACAACAAAGTGTCTCTAAACACGTCGGGGTTTGCTCCCACCAGCTTTGGCAATATCGCCTGTTGATTTTCCATGCTAGCTCTGTGTGCGTTGCTGCTTGTTACTTGCGTTTTGCACATTATGTGTGTTCCCCAGTCTGTGTGTTCCCCATCATGTGCCTTGCCCTCTGGATGCGTCCCTCACGGCAGGGAGCTGAGTTACAACCAGCTCAGCGGCATGGTGCCGGTCTCCTTGGCGAACCTGCACAACCTCACCGAGCTGTAAGCCCGTTTCCCCCCTTTAAGGTAGAAATATACTCCCAAGTATAAACAGGATCCCAGGTACAAGCACATGTTTTCACAGTACACAACCTGCACAGCCTCACTAGCCTTGTAAGGTACATATGACATGCTGCCACTGTGCACAGCCTGCACATGTTCGCCCTATGCGCACGGGCGATAATTGAGACAACTTAAAACTTGCATCACAGAGCTGTAAGGGCATGATTCCCCAGGTACATACTTGTACTTGTTTCGTCAAGTGCTAATTATGTGAAGTGTGGGTGTTTGCGCACATCCCAGCCTCAGCTAAACCCAGAATCTCCAAAGCAATGAAAAGGTTCCAGCTAATCTCGTAGAGCATCGTCCCCAATTTCCCTCCTACCGTTTCCAACCCATTGTTGTTAATCAAAGAGTCCTCTTCAGCTCAAGTGTGTTCCTTGTTAAACGATGTCAGATCAAGTACCTACACCCCCATGCACAAGTGCAAGTTCATTCATGCAGTCATACGACCATGCATTGCACCTATCACGACATGACATGTGCCCACACACACCTGGTCCCTGAGTCCCACCCATCAGGTGGCTGCGAGACAACCAGCTCAACGGCACCATCCCCTCCTTACTTGGAGAACTCACCAAACTCGTTGCTCTGTGGGTGCCTCGTTGCTCTGTGGGTGCCTCGTTGCCCTGTGGATAATGAAAACCATTTTTTGCATGCCGTTGCTTGCAGATCAATGTACATCCCTTCTTAATCGCATGCCTTCTCGTGGACGCACAACCACATGCTTCCCTTTACATTCCCTCCCCTTGCCGCCCTCTTCACTGCTGCATCTTGCTGCCCTCTGCACTGCTAAATCTTCCTTCCCTCTGCACGGTACCCAATTACTGTCCTTTACTTTCCTCTCTGCGTTGCCTGCAGGGATCTGAAGAACAACGACATGAATGGCACCATCCCCACCTCGATCTACAACCTCACCAGGCTCACAAAACTGTCAGTGCCGCCCCCCCACCCTCAACCTCCGTGTTGCACACACACAGTGCACACAGAGCAGAGAACAGCGGGACAACGAACCCCTCTCCCTCCACTGTCTTTCACAATGTTCAAGAGCACCTCTGTCTTATACTTCACTACAAATCTTTATACCTCTACCTCTATCTTATCTTGTGTCTCATGCACTTTCAAATTTTCAAAGGCCAACCTCCCTCCTTTTAAATTGGTGGTGCAGCGATTTGAACTCCAATGGGTTCACAGGACCACTGGCCTGTAGCATTGGCAGGCTCGTCAGCCTTCAGTTCTTGTAAGTGAGAGAAACTCCTCTCCACCACATTGGTCACTCAAAGTTGACGCACTTGCCAATAGGTAAGGGCTACAGGGGGGCTGTTCAATTCAGTATCATACACGTGTGTGTTGTTACAAGAATCATAGTATACTAACTATACTACTGTAAAATTTGCTAAAGTGGGTGTGGAAGCCCAGCGTATAATTGTTGTCAGAGTAGTTGTAGATGGTTGAATGAGGCCTGCACCAATAGTAAGGGCAGGGCTGACCGCACTGTAAGCTTGGGACAGGGAGCAAGGAGATAAGGAAGCAGGTAATCCGACAGCTTGTGTACAATTCTAGTCCTTGAGTGCTCATGTTGAAACACGTGTGCTGCTTGCCTGCAAAGCCAATCAGCCATGGATTGTCAGTGCCTAGAAGATTCTGTGTAGCAGTTCCACGTAAAAGTCACCGTGAAATAGGTTGCATGTAAAAGATAAAGATAAAAACACCAAGATTGCAGTTTCCATGCAGCAGTTGGACATCAGAGGTATAAAACAACCGTTTGCATAGAACAGCCACAGATAACAGTACATCGTAGTGTAAATCAGTTTTGCAAAGCGTGAATTTGATTCCAAAATACTTGAGTCCCCTGGATCTTCCTTTCCCTCTCCTCTCAGCGATTTGAGTAGCTGCCAGTTTTCAGGGTCTCTCCCAGCCACCATCGGTCGCCTCACCAACCTGACACAAATGTGAGTGCCGGCTGTATTCCACTTGTGAGAGTCGTGATATCATCTCCTATACTTCACTCACCCTCATCTAACGTTTGGATGCGTGCATGCTTCCGATCCATGCATGTGGCTCGTTGACGTGTACTCTTACATAAGTCAGTATACTCAGGAATACCACATGCCTCGATCACGCTATGATGAGAAGGTTATGGGTGACTGAAAAGCAAAGCACAGTGTGTATGGAACAAGCTAACCCCCATACTGTCAGACCTTGTGTGCTGCTTTGGTAACCAACTCATTTCCTTGAAAACGGTGAACATAATTTCCTCACATTTCCAAGTCTCCATCCATTTCGTGATCTCATTTCCCATACGTTCAGGTGGCTGGCAGACAACCATTTCAGTGGTTCCGTGCCCAACTCATGGAGCAGCCTCACACAGCTGCGCGCACTGTGAGTGCTGCTCTTGTTAGTTCTTCTCTCGAGCTCTAATCTATGAGACTTTGAGTGCTACCAGCGATATGCTCTTGATTATGAAAGTGAGGGTGCTACCATGACATGTGACTGCTGCTCTCAGGCTCTTATATCGAGATTGAGACAGACAGAGAGAGAGAGAGTGAGTCAGGGGAGACGTGGGTGACGGATGTAACCGTGACAGACCCGGTGTTGCAGAACAGAGATAGCAGAGCTCGTAGGCCGCCGGGGTGGGCGGCGGAAGAGGTATCACAGAGAAAGCATAGGCTCTATGAGGGGCGACCGAGCTACGCCGGCTTCTTTGGGCTAGCTGTCGGGGCTATGGCTGCAACCGCATGCTAGGCACCCATGCGGCTAAGAAGAAATTCAGACAGGGTCGTCTCAGTACAACGGCCGCCAGGCTCACCGATCACTACCGACAAAGGTGGTCGGTCATGCTGCAGCGGAGCCAGGCCATCTCACTCCTCTCCAAGTCCAACCGGGCGGCAGAGGCAGCCTTCCCACAGGCGGCGGGGGACCTGTGGGCCCCACAGCTGGGAGACCTCTGGCAGATGACAGAGGATGAGTATGAGGAGCGGGAAGCTCCCTCTCGAGCGGCTTAGAGGGGCTGGAGGGTAAGTAGGGTAGGGACTGGAGGCTGGTAGGCAACTGCAGGGGCGTGCCTATGGGACAGGGAGAGGGAATGGAAGGCAGGAGGGGCTGGTGTTGCTGCTGCTGGCGGCTTGGTTGAGTAGTGGATGACCAGGGGGCACACACACACGGCATGCTTGCTCTGCTTGCTTTGCTTTGCTTGCTCGGCTTGTTTTGTTTCGGTTGTTTGTTTGTCTGTCTGCAGGTTTTTGTTAGCCTTGGTATCTGGTTGCTTGCACTTATAGACAACAGAATAGCTACCAACCCCTGCCATGCCTGTACCTTATGACACACTATCAATACATGACTGCTTGAGAGAGAGAGAGAGAGAGAGAGAGAGAGAGAGAGAGAGAGAGAGAGAGAGAGAGCGTGTGGAGTGAGGTGGGTGCTGGGCTTCCAGCATTATGGGAGTGTTACGACCATATTCCCCTCAGGCTCTATCATGTGAGTCGGGTTGTCTTGGCACTCTGTGGTGCCCTTCATAGTGCAGCCAATCCTACATCCTTCTCCCATCTCTCCCATCTGCTCCCCACAGTGGCCTCGCAGGCAATGCTCTTTCCGGCACTGTCCCAGCAGCATTCTTCAACCTCAAGAGCCTCACCCAACTGTGAGTCTATACATGTGTATGCATAAATACGAATAAAAGAAATTCAGGGTTTTCCCGGAACTCTGCATGTTGCAACAGTCAATTCCAACCCCTGCATGCCAACTGCGGGCCTTGGTCTCTGAATCACCCTCAAACCCCTGTCCCAATTCTTAAGGTGCTGGTTTGTACTGCTCTTAACCTGCGACAACTGACATGCATGCATGCACTTGCATCGCATCATCCAGTCATTGCATGAAGGTGTCAGCAGAGGCGCTTCAAGCATTAGGTGCAATGAACCTCCGCTTTCAGGTGTAATAACCATGAGATTGAAATGGCGTACGTAAAGATATGTGGCACAATACGATGCAAACACATGCCATATCGCATGAGATTTAGGTAACGACAATTGATTGCATTCCAATGTTCCTAATATCACCGGTTTCTAGAAATTCCCCAGTACCCCCAAATCTCCCTATATATATAACCCATTTTTCCAATCATCATCCCAAACCCCTCCATATTAACAACAATATTCCCAACTCCATAACCTTGCAGGCACTTCCCCAACAACTTATTCCATGGTTCCCTTCCCACCGCCCTCTTTCATCTCACCAACCTCACTGATCTGTAGGCCTCTTTTTGAGTGCGTCCTTGCCTTGAGGTTCTTACACCCCTCCCTACTGCGAATCACATTTCTGTATTATTGTTTACCCCTTAAAAGACCTATGAGTTCACATTTCATGCATAAGAATCCACGAGTTTACATATTCGTGAGTTTATGCTCTCTGCTCTGCATCACTGACAAGTTCCGCAAGCCTATTTCAGAAAAATGATATCGATGCCGTTGAGTGAAAGAAAATATGAGCTTATATTTGGCATTGACAGTTCCATCCCATGGTGACCTGCTCTGGTGTGGCTCGTGCTTCTCCAGAAACTTTGGCAATACCTCCTTGTCGGGACCCATACCTTCGGAGATCAGCAATCTTGTGCAGCTAGTGTGGACGTGAGCTTGGTGCCTCTCGCGCGCGCGGTTACACACACGCACACACATGAACACACACACACACGCACACACACACACATGAACACACACACGCACGCACACACACACACATGAACACACACACACACACGCACACACACACACACACACACATGAACACACACACACACGCACACACACACACACACACACACACACACACACACGCATGCACGCATGGACGCACGCACACACACATGCACACGTGTGCGCGCGCACACATACACACACAGTCACACACACACACACAGACACAGACGCACACGCACACACACACACACGCACACACACACACACACACACACACACACACACACACACACACACACACACACACACACACACACACACACACACACAACACATAGATATCAGCAACCCAGTGCACCTGGTGCATACACAATCTGAATGGCTCTATCGAATGCTCCTTCTGTGCCTTACTTGTTTGGAGCGTCTGACTTGCAGCGATGGGAAGAGGGCCAACTTCAGTGGACCCCTGCCGACCACCATCACACGAATGACGACCCTTGAGAGATTGTAAGTACTCGTGTATTAGTTTTGAGCACTCTAGAAGTGACACCACCACCAGCATGGCCTATTTCAGTGTCCCTGCCTATGAAGCCAAGAGTTGTCAAAGTCTGTGCACAATCCGTGGAGGGAGATGCCTGCTGTGTGATGCTCAATGCAGTCAATGCAGTCAATGCAGTCAATGACGTCACTCAGAAACCTGGCATGAGAACTTCGAAGTCATGAGGACTCTCATGTCCATACACGTTCACGCAAAACATGGACGCATGCATGTGAAGGTGCTTAAGGATCTCACCTGCATATGAATGTGCACATCAGTGTGCATGCGACGTGTAGAATACACCTGAGGGCATACTTACCCTTACAAAGGCGAACATCAAAAGGGAGGGTATGGAAGACCTGCCTGCTGCAGCCCCTCTTTACCTTCACCTACATGACCAGTACCACCAGTGCCACTTCCTCCCTTTTCACATTATACTTGGTTCAAGTCTCCGATTGCGCCTCACACGCCTTTACCATCCCATCCCACCATGTGTGTGTGTCACTGAGAGGACCTCACTCACTCGTGTTAAGGTAACCCCTTGCCTAACTTGTCACCATCTGAATGCAAATGGAACTGGCAGGAATCTGGCCCACAACCGCTTGAGTGGGCCCATTCCCACTGGCTTTGCCAACCTTACCAGATTGACAATGCTGTAAGCGTGTGCACATAGTTCAACTGTTTTGTTTGTTACTAACAAGATTTGCACAGCTTCAGCTGTTTTGTTTCTTGACCACTGGTGCACACACTTAACCCATTCCAGTTGTTGAGTTGCTCCTGATTGTGTCTGCCAAAGTCAAAATTCACCGTGTGTGGTATTACATTCTGATGCTCCATGTGTGAAATGCATGCAGCATTCTGAACAACAACAGCCTCTCAGGCGAGCTACCTGCTGAGCTGGGCCAGAACCCTGCTCTCAAGGACCTGTGAGCACTCACGCACTCAGCGCTTGTGCACATACCTGCTAGCGTTGTCTTATCACTTAACGTCCTCAGGCCTCAAAATAAATTCTTGATGATTTCTCTCGTAATTTCCATACCCCCTGGATATGTCCCCACGCTCCTCCTGTTATGTTGAAAATTCTTCTTCTCCAGCGGTCTTGGCAGCAACTACCTGAGAGGATCCTTCCCTGAAAGCTTCTCTAGCCTTACCAACCTTACCAAACTGTGCGTGCGCTCGCAGCTGATGCAAACACAAGCCGTCAAGCCAGCCTAGGCACTTGGCTTGTCATATCGTTACCACCGAATATGATGCCGCTAGGAGTACATGCTGCCAATCTGTGGGCCAATGCGTTATCATGCCATGCCAGTAGGAGCTAACCTGTGCAATATCAACATGATAGCTTCAGGTGGTAGTCCAGCTTTATAAAAGAGGGCCTATCCTGGAGAACCACTCTCAACCCAACCCCTTTGTGTGTCCCACGGCATGGCCACTGCAGGGTCCTGAGCAACAACTCTCTCTCTGGCTCTCTTCCTACCACCATCAGCGCTCTTACCTCCCTCAGCATCCTGTAAGTTCCCTGTGCTCTGTTTGCCCTCTGTTCACGCTACCTGCATCTTGTGTTCTTTGTTTCTCCCGATAGCATCTGGGTTGTTGGGACATGCGTGTGGATTTCAGTGGATAGCATGAAACCTTCATTCGGGTGCTGCTTTCGCTCCTGCCGCCACCGCTGCTGCTGCTGGCTGCTGTTTTCTTTTAACAATACACAGCCCATCATCAAATTGCCTTCTCTGGTATGAAACGGTATGGCGTGGGTGCACTGTATTATGCCGTGCCATGATATGTTGCATGCATGGTTGGGAATGATCACATCACAGGTATTTGCAGAACAACAACTTTGAGGGGTCGCTGCCCAATCTCCCGTACAATGTATCGGCAGTGTACGTATCTCATAAATTGCATACCACATGCCAACATCTTGCTTGCACTGCTGTACTTGTTTTCGCAGTATCTCTGTCACTTCCATGTTCAGTGTTAACATAAGTTGAAGAAGAAGAAGAAGAAGGAAAAACACACACACACACAAAGAAATACATGAGAGCAGCTGCATATTTACCGTATACGGTGGCGTTTCTATTGCAAATTGCGTACCACATTCTTCCTCTGCTATGTCCATGTTCTGGTGGCAAAAAACAGAGATTTCAGCAGCAACAACTTCACAGGAGGATTTCCGTTGTACTCTGCACAATTCAGCAGCCTTGCCTCATTGTACGCATGCGCTGGCGTTACCACTCTCACTTTCACTCCAGCACTCCAGTGCTGGAATCTACCCGCAGCTTTGCACTGCATTTTTATTTGTGCATGGTATTTCAAAGCTGACGAAGCCAGGTTAGACCACGTGCCGTGCCACCCACTTCAGGCTGGCCGACCGTAAACTCCAGCAGTCCTTGCCCCCAGCAGTCCTTGCCCCCAGCAGTCCTTGCCCCCAGCAGTCCTTGCCCCCTGCTTCCCTTGTTTCTCACATTCGGTCTGGCCTTCCAGAGCCTCACAGATGCACATATGCAACAGTTGTTTGTCACACCTGTTGCTTATGTATGCTATCTCTTGTGCCATCAACCACGCCCTTGCCCTCGCCCTCCCCTTGCCTGCAGGAACGTCAGCAGCAACAGGCTTTCCAGCTCACTTCCTTCAGAGCTGGGCTCTCTCGTGGCCCTTACATCCCTGTGCGTGCCACTGCAACCTCTTTACTCCTTGCATCCCCACCCTTGCATTTCTTGTCGATGCACCAGCAGCGTTTGCAACCCAATTGTGCACCTCCTCACACATCTCCTCCACACCTCCTGTCCTGTCACCCATCTGCCAAGCAGCAACACGAGTGGCAACCAGTTCTCAGGCGCCATCCCTACCTCTCTCCAAGCCCTGAACCTCCTTAGCTTCCTGTGAGACCATTCTTTCCCACATTCATGAAACCTCCATGTGGCTTCTCATGAACGCCGGAGAATCATGTGTTGACACGTGGCTTATTTTCATCATTTGTTGACACGTGGCTTTTTTTTAAACCTGTGTTGACATGTGGCTTCTGAATTATGTGTTGACTCGTGGCTTCCAAGACCAGTGTATGTGGTCACATGGCTCCACCCTTGCTAACTCTGCTCTGCCTTTCGCTGAACCTTTCTGTCTTTCTGAAAATCCACGTGGCATGCTGTAATTTGCAGGGATTTGAGTGGCAACTCTCTAAGTGGTGGCATTCCAGACTTCCTGAGCGTGCTCACGCTCTTGCAGAGGCTGTGAGTGAACCTTGCAGAAACCTTACTCATCGTGTGGTGCCTGTAAATGAGAGAGCGACACCTGCATTTTGTGCTTGGTGCGCACATTCCAAAGTACTCTCAATCAATCCATGTGCCAAAATCTACCATCCACACCGTTTTAAAAACACTTTATTTCAGTCGTTCGCCTACATACCATCAGTGCTGCACATATGCCGGCTATATGCTGCTGAACGTGCTGTGCTTCCTTTCTTCTTGACTCACCCTCACTTTCCCTGCTGCCCGCACAGAAATCTCAGCACTAACTCGTTTTCTGACACGCTTTCTACATCCCTGGGAGCTCTGGACCAGCTGACGTGCCTGTAAGAGTCACTTAGCTAAGCTAGATACTTGAAGGCCATGTCTTGTAAAGCGAGACCTGCCTTAGATTCCTGGAATAAGGGCAACGAGGCCAATTCTTACAAGCATGAGACAAGCTTGGGTTGTAATCCAATTGGACTCAAAGAATGTGTGTACACCTTGTATCAGCTTGTGTTAAGTGCACGTTACACTGCAAATTGCATTGTATCACATACTGTAAGATCTCAAAGCGAGAGGACATGAGTCACTATGGTGCAACGCAATTGCAAGGCACTTCTGATTCTTTATGTCCTTCTGTTGATTTCGTTCAATACATAAAGGCGTTGCTCAAGATGCATGATTCGGTAACCTGTTTAACAAACAGAAAGAAATTATACATACACGTGAGTACCGAAAGACTTCCACTTATGGAGGAGGGGTGACAAGTTCAACAAACTAAAATGCTAGAGGGATGTCAGAAGGATATCAAAGCACGTACCAAGAGCTCAGAATGCCACCCTACAACGACATGCATGTAAGAGTGCCTACTCTGTTATGATCTAGATTTTTCTCAGGCCTCATTTTTGTACTGGCCTTCTAGGAGCTGTGTCTTCCTTTCAGCTGCTTTCCTCTGCTGAAAGTTAATTCTTGTCGTTAACCATTGATATCTCTACTTGCAAGTCACACTCAGCGCCTTCTCACACTTCCTCTCTTCCCTCTCCCCTCCACAGTGACTTGAGCGGCAACCAGCTGTCTGGGTCAATCCCTTCTGCCTTTGGTGGTCTCACCCTGCTCGTGCACATGTGAGCGATGCACATGTGAGCGATGCACATGTGAGCGATGCACATGTGAGCGATGCACATGCGAGTGATTCCTGCTCATGCGGAGTGATGGCCATGTGAATGATGCGCGTGTGTGGATGCATGCGTTCATCTACCCACCCGTAACGTGTCCCGTATTCTTCCAATCGCATGTATGCCAATACCCCTCCTAGGGACATGAGTCGCAACAACCTCTCAGACTCCATCCCCACCAGCATCGGCCGCCTCTCAGGCCTCACCTCCCTGTACGCCCAGATTGGTTCATGTGCTCCTCATCATCCTAATCATCCTCATCATCCCCATGATCCCCATCATCCCCATCATCCCCATCATCCCCATCATCCCCATCGTCCTCATGATCCCCGTCATCCCCATCATCCTCTTCATCCTCATCATCCCCATCATCCCCATCATCCTCATCATCCTCATCATCCCCATCATCCCCATCATCCTCATCATCCTCAATGCCCTCCTTAAACCACTGTGGCTGGTTACCATGCCATGATGGCGCATTGGGATAATGGCCCACTGAGATATTAAACCCTACTTTCAGGCATTTCCAGTGTACTTGCAAGGGTTTTCAGTGGAAGCACAGGCTGCTGCACCGGGCCATGCCCCCCTTCCTCCCTCTCCTCGCCCTTCTTTGCATGCCCACCATGCCCTATTGCTGGGCATGAACCTCTCACTCACGACCGTCAATGGATACCCCCATGCGTACCTTCAATCATCCTCCACGCCTCACATCAACTGTGCAGGAACCTAAGCCGCTCAAGCGTCACAGGTCCCATCCCCGACTCCTTCACCTCACTCTCCAACCTGGTTTTCCTGTGAGATACCCAGCAGTAGACTCTCAGCATCAAACCTCCAAATCGCTGCTCCCGCAAGCCATTACTAGAACTGTGTGGCTGTTACAAGCCATCACAGTCAGCAAGCCACTTGCCGCATTTCACAGTCGCCAAACAGCTGCTGAAATGCACATGTTTGCAACCCCACTCAACAATGCCTCCTAAATCGCATCTCAAATTGCATTTACCGAAGAAGCTGTCAGCTTGCATAAACATGTGGAGCCTTAGCTGATATGGACTGGATACATAGCAGTTAGCTGCGCAGTTCTGGATCGTTATGTTTTTGTCATAGTGTCCAATATCTTTGGGGGAAAAAAACATTTTCAGGCTTTAACCAAGCTGCTCTTCTCTGAACTGCACTGCAGGGATCTGAGCTACACCGGGGTGGCTGGGTCAGTGCCATGGGGCATCAACAGCCTGGGGCAGCTGCAGGCCTTGTGAGTCACTCCAAACCCTCGCAGAGGAGTAATTAGAGAGTTTGCCAGGAACAATGGTTGTTTCAATGCACGCTGGTACATGAGTGATTATGTTTTACGGTCTCCCTATCTATTAAGGCTTATTAAGCGTGAACCTTCTACGCATGATAATTCACGATTTTCAGTCCCCGCCACAGGCATTCAGTTGAGACAACTGTATGTAACACTGTGTACCAGTAATGGCACGGCTCACAACCATCCACTCCCCCTCCCCCAACCACACCAGGTACGGCACCCCCGGCATCTTCTGCAACGACAATGCCACCTGCCCTGCTGCCCCTACGCCGCCCACCAGCCCGATGCCCCCTCCTGCGCCACCAGCCAATCTCACGCCGCCAGCTGTCACCGACTCCAGCTCCCCTGCGTCTGCCAACTCGTCTGCGCCCAACGCCACCTGCCACGTGTGCCAGAGCTACTGCCTCGGTTGCTCCTCCTCTGCACCCAGTGCGTCTCCTGCTGCTTCTGCTCGCTCAGTCCCTCCTGCACTGCCTTGTCCACTGCACAAGTTCCGTCACCCATTACACCTCGCATTTGTTAAAGTTTCTACCATCCTGAACCCACTCTCTCTCTCTCTCCCAATACTTTGTCTCTCTTGCTCGTTCGCTCTCCCCGTTCTCTTCCATCATCCAGTTCCTTATCTCGTCTGGATTCTTCCTGTACGATTGTCATAAAGTCCCTCCATCTCTCCTTCTCCCACCACCGTATTCTCACAATCCTCTATCACACCGCTTGCCTCCTCTGCTCTGCCACCACCACCCCACTCTGACTAGAAGCCATCGCAGCCACACTTGCACACTCATTCCAAACTCTCATCACTATCATTGCCCTCTCTCCCTTGTTCGGTTCTCCCTCTCCATGCTTCAGCCAACCCCTTGGCTTCCACCAGTTCTCTCTCCCCGGGGGCCCTAGCAGCCGTAGTGGCGGCGGCACTCATTGCACTCCTTGCTCTCATCGCCCTGATCATCTTGCTCTGGTTCTGCTTCCGCCAAACGAAGCCTGGTAGGATGCTGCAATTTATTATGAACCGAACAAAGCCAAGCCGCCTGTGGGTGGCTGAATTGCCAGTGCATAAACAGACACTCAAAGACATTGCCAGTCACCTCTGCCTCCCTCTGTCTTCACTAAATTCTCTCCTCCTCTGCTGATCAGCTTAGTTTCCACAAAACAAATGCCTCATTCCAGCCCCGTTTCTTCCCCATGTCTTGCTTCTCACTCGCGGACACCCAGCAGGCCACCAACTTCTTCTCGAAGGTCAACCTGATTGGGTCAGATCCTAGACAAGTGCTTCCCTCTATCCACCCTCACCCCTCCCCCCATTGTCCACCACCCCTTCTCCACCACCCCCTTTCCCCCCCCTCCCTCTCCTCCCCCACAGCGTGCAAGCAGTACTCACTGGCGGACATCCAGCGGGCCACCAACTTCTTCTCGGAGGTCAACCTGATCGGCTCGGGGGGCTTCAGCGACGTGTACAAGGGCGTGGACCCGCAAGACCCGGAGGTGCTGTGGGCCGTGAAGCGCGCCACGGCCCTCTCCAACGACTTTATGAAGGAGGTGAGGGACATCACATATTTTAGCAGGTGAGAACGTGGTCCCTTCGCAAAAAACGAATGGTCTCACTGATCTTGGGAAGAGATGAGTACCAACATTGCGAAGGGATTACGTTAAGGGTTGAAATCATTCTAAAGACGAATGGATGGTTGAGCTGTAAAATCTATAGTCCAGAATAGGAGGGGAAATGTCCAAGTTAAGCTATTGAAGTCAACCACTTCTATAAGTCGATTTCAATATGCATGCCAGCAACAATGAGTCAAATTCAAACATGAGTTGGCTTTTCTTCCCATTTGCACCTTTTACAAACTGATTTTAGGAAGCCCACGCTTTTCAGAAGGAACGATGCAGATCTTCATGTCTCAAAACCTCACTGTTGTTGCTGCAGCGCGCGAGGCTGCTAGTGGTGCTGGGTACTGCATCAGCTACAACTTGGCTCTCACGCACACCTCGTTCTTTTACTTGGTCTTCCTGACCATCGTCCCTCTCCCAGGTGGCAGACATGGCACGGCTGAAGCACCCAGCACTGGTGCCGCTGCTGGGGTACTGCATCGACTACAATGAGGAGTCCCTGCAGATGGAGCAAATCATCGTGTCCCAGTTCATGCCCAACGGGGATCTCTCCCAATGGACCATGCCAGGTGCGATTAGGCCAGCAGGGCTTGTTCAATAAGGTTTGATGAAAGGCGTTCACATCCTTCAGAATACAAAGGATGGCAGTACACTTCGCATGATGGTTCGTAGTATAATAGAGATAACGTTGACAAGAAAGGTAATGATACTGTATATGTATATGTATATATATTAGTGGTGATCCAATGAAAGAACGATTCATATTCAATAAATATGTTGAATGATGACGTATGTCGAATGATGAGGGAGGCAGTTGGGAGAAAGTAATAGAGGGTGGAAGAATGGGGAGCCCTCCCATCCCATCCCTCTATACTCCCATTCCCCAAGCCCTCCTCTCACTGCTTCCCCATGCCCGTGCCTTTCAGGAGCCAAGCCTGCAAGCACCTGTTCTGGAGGCCCTATTCATTTTTCCATGTCTGCACCGCATCTCCCGGGAGCCAAGCCCACGACTTCATGCCTCCATTCCTTCATTCCATCGTGCCCTCTTCATTCTCCTACGCCCCCACCTCCCAGGAGCCAAGCCCATGTCGCTGCGTGTGAGGCTGGCGGTGCTGGTGGACGTGGCGGATGGGCTGAGCTTCCTCCACAGCCGTCGGATTGCGCACCGCGATGTGAAGCCGGCCAACGTGCTGCTGGATGCAGACATGCGGGTGAGACCAGAGCTTGAATGAATGACTAGGCGCGGGTGAAAAATGTGCGCTGGATGCAGACACGTGGGTGAGTCATCCAACAGTACTACATCAGTTTCGGACTCCTGTTTTGCTTCCATTTACTTCCTCACTGTTCCATTGTCACTTGGCCCTGAAACCGCAAATGTGTCCCCTTCTTTCTGCAAACTTCTAACAATCTCCCTCTCCTTTACCTCTCCTCCTCCTTCATGCCATGCCACACACCTCTTGGAGAGCATCTCTCAACCAAAGGTGGTGAATTCGGGTTAACCCATCTCCTCCCTTCCTCCTCCATCACATCACCACCCACCCTCCCAAGCGAAGGTGGCGGATTTGGGGTTCATGCGAAGATGGAAGCGACCCACAGAACCCTTCTCTACAGCTCGAGGAGCCACCCTGTTCAACTTGTCCTGCCTGATCTCACTCCCTCTCCGTCGCCATGCGATGCACCATTTCAGGCGAAGGTGGCGGACTTTGGGTTCATGCGGAAGATGGAGGCGACCCAGGTGAACACCACGAGGGTGATGGGCACACCGGGCTATGTGGACCCCGAATACCTCCAGACCCGCCTTGCCACCACCGCCACTGATGTGTACAGGTGAGCGGTGCTGACCGGTGGTGGTGCCTTGGTGCTGCATCGTGTGGGCATGGGTGATGGGAGCATCAGGCTATGTGCACTCCAAATAGCACCACGGCATCTTGACATCACTCCCACCAGCACGCAAAGTGTCTTGTGATTTGCATGGGGTGGATATTTTTTAGGCTTGAGGCGCCTAAGAAATAGGCTCTCCAAATAGCACCACGGCATCTTGTCACTCGCTACCACCAACACGCAAAAGTGTTTTGCAAACAACAGAGGGTGGATAACTGTGTGCCTGGTAAACGTGCATTTGTGTGCATCGCTGCATTGCCAGCTGTGAATCTGCAGCAGCTGCTGCGGATCCTCGCTGAGCATGACTCCTTTCTCCGCCACTACACCGACCGACTACCCGTATCTCAGTTGACTACAATAATAACAACCAATTCTCCTTCAGCACCACTTCTCTCTCCTCACTCATCTCTCCTGAACGACCACCCCCCTTCCTTTCCCTCAGTTTCGGAGTGCTACTGCTGGAGATGCTGACCGGTAGGGAGCCAATGCTGTCAATCGATGGCTCACAGTCACACATCCGGGACTGGGTGAGTCATTCTTGAAACACCTCAAAAGCCCGTTCTTTCAGTCGATGCCATGAGCACATTCAGGAGTGGGTAAGTCATTTTTCGTATCCAACCAGTACCTTGCAATTCATCCTTTCTTTTGATGGCTAGCATCACACATCGGAGAATGGGTGTGTTTCATTTTCCTCATCTGTATGCCGAAGTCCACTCGCTGCCTCGGATGACTGTTGAGTTGACTAAAAATTCTCTCTCTTCGCACCCACTCTCTCCCATCATGCAGGCGGCTGCCGAGCTCTCCAGTGGTGACATCAGCTCCATCATAGACCCTCGGATGGTCTCCCCTGCAGCATCTGGTGCCAGCATTGTGCATGCTGATGTCATGAAGAGCCTTGCATCCCTGGCACTGGCATGCACGGCCATGCCTGCTGCCTCTCGTCCCCCCATGGCCAAAGTGCACTCACAGCTGAAGCAGCTGCACGAGGAGGTGGTGAGGCAGGAGGGGGAGAGCATATCGCAGCAAGGGAGTGGGCTGGGGGGGCTGGGAACGGGGGGAGGGAGTTGGCTGCAGAGGGATAACCGTGTGTGCCCTGCAGCTGAGTCTGCGGTAAGGAGTGTGAGTGCGGTGAGGGGAACGACGGATGACGAAGGCAGTCCTGAAGAGGATGAGAGCTTGACTGATGGGGAGGAGACAAGTGGAGAAGCAAGTAGGAGCACGGGTGATGAACACAACTGAACGGACCACGTTTGAGATATTATGGTACAGTGTGTATAAATACGATATGGTATGTTGAAAATGCGAAGCTTTTATGCGGATCCAAGCGTTTGAGTATGAATGGGGTACATGCGATTAAAAAGAGGAGTCGCAAGTGCTACAAATTGAATCCGTAAATTCCATCATTGTTAATTTCTACTGCCCCATTGAGTTAGAAAATCTATTTTATTATACGTGCATCC